TATCATGCTGGTTACAAAGCAATGACGTGATGGATGCTTTCAGGAATGGCTTGTTAGAAATTTCCTTGTTCAGTGTATTAGATTTTTGGAAGGGAATGGAAGCAAAGAGTTTCCATGAAGTATTGCTTTGCACAAAGCATCAACAAATCTAGCGTGAATGAGATCAAAAGTTTCTGTGAGATATTCACATTCCTTATCTTAACCATAAAGAAACTAATTTTCTCAAAATTAGAGATGAGTCTCTTAGGAAACAAATGTAAAATCTAAGGGAAAGATTACATGGAGTTTCTAAACAGCAAAAGTAAAACCTAGGTGAAATACTACAGTGAGTTCTTAGAATTAGTTGCAGTGAGATTACAAATAGGTCAGACTCTGGCTTGATTTTATATGCCACATCACATCTTATAAATCAACACATTCATTCCCATTGATTTAACTTCAAAAAGGTTAAATCACATGAGACTAAAGATTCTGTTCATGAAAACTAGATTAGAAAGGAAGAGCTAAAGGAACATGGAGAACGATAACCTCGGATGTCTCTTAGATCATCACAGGTCAAAGTTATTTACAAGTTTTACTAATAATCCTAAAAGATTTTTGAAATGACAAATCTAAAAAAAACCCATTGCGATCAATACAATTCTGACTCATACTGATCCTATAGGACAATGTAGAACTGCCATATAAGGCTTCCAAGGCTATAAATCTTTGTGGAAGCAGATTGCCACATGTTTCTCCCACAGAGAGCAGATGGCAGGTTCCAACTTTTGACTTTCTTTCTTTTTTTTTTTAAACTGTGTAGTGCTTTAACTACTGTGCCATAAAATTATTTATTTTTAATTTTTATTTATTTATCTATTTTTCCTTTTTTCTTTCTTTCTTTTTTAAATTGTGATTTGGGTGAAAATTCAGAGAGTAAATTCACTTTCCATATGGCAATTCACATACACTTTGTCTCATGACGTTGACTACAATTTACTACAGTGCAACAGCTCCCCTCCCACTTCCTCCCCATAGTTACCTCTTCCCTGTGTCCATCCCTCCATGCACTCCTGCCCCCTGAGCTGTCTCCCTGTGCATAAACAGCCCTTCTTTCTCCCATGATTGTTCTCTCCAAGGAGTGTATCTACCTCAGGTAAATGTTTAACTTATATGCCTGTCTTTTGTTTAGCTGAAAGGCACAGGTGTGAGTTTAATTCCAGACCTGAAGGGCAGCTAGGGGTCATAGTCTCAGTGGTTCCACCAGGCTCTATCAGACCAGCAAACCTGGCCCCCCTCCCTTTTTTTTTCCAAAATGATTTTGAGTTTTGTTCCACATTGTTCTCCCTCTCTATCCAGGATCTCCTACATAGATCCCCCTCTAAGTATTTGACAGTGGTAAGCCAGACACCATCTAGTTCTGATCTCATAGTCATACAGGCTGCCAATTGCATGGTGTACCAGTCACCAGGACAAATTCTTTCCATGAATCTTTGGTTTTCTTCCTTCTTCTTTGCTCTGAATGAGGAAAGACCCATCATTGCATCTAGATGGCTGCTTGGAAACTTTTAAGATCCCAGTTGCTACTCACCAAAGTAGGAGGTAGAACAATGTTTTGTGTAGTATGTTATGCCAATTGAGCTTGATGTCCCCTGTGACTATGGTACTGAGCCACAGGTTCAACTATTCGGTCCCTCTGGGTAGCTGGCTGTGACCAAGAAGTGACTACCACTTGTCCCTTGTCAGCTCTACTATACACCTAGGAATTCTTACAGATCATACAAATACACTTGTAGGACCATTGTCTGCCAACCCTATACATGGTCTTGGGTATGCTCTCCGCTTCATAGACATACCTAATAGTTCAGCCTGTCCGCCCATCCATCCACCCATATACCCATGTTTGCCTTCACTGACAATGTAGTACTCTCTGTGCAAAAGGGTTCATCTTTGTTGTATGTACCTCCCATGCACCTCTCTATGTCTTCCTCTTCCTCAATGCCGCCATGTTGATCACTCACATTTGGTACATTGCCCTTCTCTTCACCCAAATCAATACTGAAGAAGAGCCTTCCCTCCTCAACTATTCTGAATTAACTTTAGATAGCTTCTAATTGTAAAATCTTTCTGACAATCTGAAAACTATGTAAATCTAAGGTGTTAACTCAAGGACATGGTAGTCAACCATCTCTTTAAAATGTAACATCAGGTAGCCAACCCCTACCTCCACGTTTGCTAGAAGGAGATTAACATAAACTCACATATCTTTCCAGAAGGTATTAGAAAATTAGCATTTTTATCTTGAAAGTGTGAATGTAAGTATCCACTCAGCTGTATACAGGGTAAAATTCCTCTATCATGCAGACTAACCAATTGCCTGTGATGCACATCACATTTAACATTTATTCAATAATAAAATTCTCTTTCTCTTCTATTTTTGTGGAAAGGTTTTCTAGGTTGGGAGTGGATTTTGTTTTTAACTGTATTCCCCCAATAAGCTATATATCTGATTTTACCAGCATATAAATATATATAATGGCACCACATAGATTAATAAAAGCAGATGAAACCAGACTAGCCCTTTACTTCAATTGTTGCCAAATCCATGCGAAGCAAGCCTCTTTCTCAGTTCACTCTTGGTCTCACTTCTACTAACTTGCAATGAAAAAAATAGACCATATATTTGTCTCCAAAGATTAATTCCCATGAAATTAACTCCCATATCCAAAGGAGTACCTGGGTGGTGCAAATGTTTAAGCGCTGGACTACTTACTAAAAATTTGAAGCTTCAACATTGTGTCAGTTGTTGCCCAGCACCACAAAAGTGATTCAGAGACACAAAAACTGTACCTGAGGTGGCTCAGAGACATGAAAGAGTTTTATTCTAAAGAGAGGGGGAGGAGGGCTTACAGGTAAAGCGACTTTGCATCCAGCAGTGGCCAGCTGGTCAGTTTCAAAGTCTACTAAACACTTCCCTATTCTCAGAGATACTTATACCTTGTTTGAGGAACTAACATACGGGTGTTATGAATTTGGTATGAGTCAGTGGTGCTGGCTGTAAGTGCTCTTCATAAGACTAACTAAGGATTTGGCCAGCAAAAGGAAAGGGAAGGGGCAGGGATGACTAAATTATCCCGCATTTGGCTGAACAGGATGCGATCTGGGAACCATTTTGTGGAGTTTACCACCTTGCCCAGTACAAACACACACAGATATGACACAGAAGTAAAACCTGGTGTTCTGCTTCCAAAAAGTCATGTATTAAAAACCCTGTGGAGAAGTTCTATTCTGCACACACAAGTATGTCATGAGTTAGAATTGACTCTATGGCAAACAACAACAGCAGCATGAATTTTGAAAGTCAAGGTCAGCCTAAATTTTTATTTACAATCTATTCATCCCTAGTGAAATGTGTACAAAGTGGACAATCAGTACCCATTAGGAGCCACACAGAACAAATATACTAATTTTGCCATTTTGTCATGTAAATATTGTCATGTTTTACTGCTTTATCTAAATACTAAGGCAATTTTTACTTTCTTTAGTGTGGCTAGCTTTCAGTGCTTGCCTCCAAGTTGGCCTGCAGGACATTTTTGCTGAAAATTCCAGTCAGGCTCACTATTAAACAAATAGTATCTACATTTAAAACTTGAGCTAACCACTCCAACATTTACTTTCTTACGATATTTGCAAAGAATTAGGAATTGCCATTATAACAACCCGAGTGATGTAGAAAGTTAACACACTCACTGCTAAACAAAATGAGTACCCCCAGAGAAAACTCAGAAGAAAGGCCTAGTGATCCACTCCCAGAGAAAATTATGGAGTGTAGTTCCACTCTGATGCACATGGAGTCACCATGATTATGCTCAATTTGACAGCAACTAGTGAGAGCAATGGAAAATGTTTGGGAATATTTGTGTTTATTTTAACTTCTATTTGCAATGAGTAAAAAACCCACTGCCATTGAATTGATTCCAACTCACAGCGGCCCTCGTAAGGTTCCCCACCCCCCAAAAAAAAAAACTCACTGCCATCGAGTCAGATCTGACTCATAGTGACCCCTCCTTGGGTTTCCGAGGCAGTATCTCTACGGAAGTAGATTGCCAAGTCTTCCTTCCAAGGTAAGGTCCCCAAGGCTATAAATATTTATGGAAGCAGACTGCTTCATCTTTCTCTGGCAGCTGGTGGGTTTGAAGAGCTGACATTTTGGTTAGCAGATCAATGCCATAACCACAGCACCACCATTGAATATTAAAGTATCCTGGTATTCACATTGTTACCACACTCAGAGAGGGACCCAAACTCACTCAATGAATAAGAAATTTCCAGAGCATTAATGTATGCATTTCTATCAGAGACGATGACAGAATGTATAACAACCTATACTTTCACTAGATACACATATTTTTGTAACCAACTACAAAAAAGACAATGTAAGATTTGAGGATAAAAATGATGGCTGTTAGATTCCTTTAGGAGGTCAAATATGCATGCAAATAAATTACCAATAAGTGAAAAATACCAAACCATAGAATTTAAGAAAGGTTTTTAATGTATTTGAATATTTCAATAGCCACTCTTCAAAAGTACATGACAACATTGGTTTTAAAAAATAAAAAAAAAATACATTTAAGTTCAAAAGTATGACTATTAACATTTCAGTTTATATACATACTGCTTAAAAACTACATCAAATTTAATTTTGTTTCGGATTAGTCATTAATACCTTATTTTACCAACTCTGTGACATTGAAGAGGGTTGGTTTTGAACCCTGGAGCATGATAAATTAGCCAAAGTAATATGTCCTGAGAAACAAGAAATTGTTCTTCTCCTGGAGATACTTTTTACTCCACTAGATGTTTCAGTCAATAGTAGGCAAGCAATACAACTTCTCAGTAAAAATTTTTAAAGAATCATGTCATTTTAATCTAGGACATATAACTCTTGCTTTTAAAATAATATAAATTTCCTGGAGTAATCTCTAAGAAAATAAGGAAATTTCATAACATATGGTCATTTAAGAAATTCTTTTATAAACAAAAAGTTGACTGCATACTCTCCTCATAGCCATTTTCATCTCTTTGTTCCTGAAAGTGTAGATGACTGCATTCAGAAAAGGAGTAAGAACTGCATCAAAAAATGCAAGATATTTTTCTAGGTGTGATGTGGGGTAAGGCCAGGTATAAACAAAAATGCAAGGACCAAAGAACAATATCATCACCATGATATGACTTGATAAATTAGAGAGAGCCTTGGATGAGCCACATGAGGAGTGTTTCTGAACAGTGATCAGGATAAAAATGTAGGAGGTGGTCAATATGAAGAATGACCCCAGAGATAAAAAACCCACTGTTGGCTGTGACCATAAACTCTAGTCTATAGGTGTCTGTGCAGGCAAGTTTGATAAATTTAGGGAGATCACAGTAAAATGTGTCCAGTACATTACGGCCACAAAATGGCAATTGTATAACAAAAAATAGTTGAATGGCAGAGTGGATCAAACCAATTATCCATGCAGAAACTGAGAGTAAAATACACATTTTTGGGTTCATTATAGTAAAATAGTGGAGAGGTTTACAGATGGCCACATATCTGTCAAAGGCCATGGCTATGAGTAACACCATCCCCACACCACCGATGACATGAAGAAAGAAGATCTGAGCAATGCAGCCTCCAAAGGAGATGATTTTGTGTTTTCTGAAAAGGTCATCAATCATCTTGGGGGAAAAGACAAAAGAAATACCCAAGTCAATAAAGGAGAGATTGGCCAACAGGAAGTACATGGCGAGTATAAGTGAGGGTCAGAAGTCACTGTAAGAACAATGAAGGAGTTTGCCATCAAGCTTGCCACAAAAAACATGGAAGAGAACACAGAGAGGACAAGTTGGATCTCCCAGGAATTGGAGACTCCCAGGAACACAAACTCTGATACCACAAAGTGATTTGTTTCATCCATTGATTTATCAGCTGTTGTTGTTGTTGTTGTGTGCCATTGAGTCGGACCCGACTCATAGCAACTGCTCCTTGGGTTTCCAAGGCAGTATCACTATGGAAGTAGATTGCCCCATCTTCCTTCCGAGGAGTGGCTGGTGGGTTTGAACCACCAGCCTTCTGG